GAAGCGATGATTCCCGCTGCTTAGATATATTGTCCACTTGCCAGCGATGCCATTGAAAGACAACAAAGGGGCCTGAAAGAAACAAGGACTGTGCGTGAGACGGAGCAGGGATAAAGGAGACTCAAAACAAAGCAAGCAAGCAAGCAAGAATACAGACACTGCAAGTCTGCTTGCAGCAGCAATATTACGCGAGTGCAAAAGAACTGTGCTATGCATAAAATGTCAGACTTGGGAGGAAGACACATGCACTGCATCTGACACATAGCACCACCTCTTAGAATATTTGCACCATAGGCTTTGCATCACTTTTGCGGGTGTGCAAAAATATTATGTGCAGCTACAAGTATATTCAGTGGGTTTGGGTGAACCAGGTTTATCTTGTCCATTTGTCTGTTGCTTGCTGTCCATCAACATGTGAAGTTGTGTGCCAAAAGCTGAATCTTGCACACATACACATATGTGGTTTCTGATAACAATCACTAATTTTGCACTGCAATCCTACCTATTTCTGCTCAGAATTAAGCTCCACTGAGTTCAATGGGAGTTACTTCCAGGTAAATAAGTGTGTAAGGCTGGGTTTCACGAAGGAAGGGGTAGCATTTTCCCAGCAACTTGTTTGAGTCTTGGGGGGAAATGTGACTTCTCTCTATCAGATTAAACAAGCTGGGTAAAATATATTTGGACTCACAGTACAAAGTTCACCTCCAGCTGTGATTACTTCGCTTCCTAAACTTTGCAGTCTGCAGAGTGAAACTGTCCTCACACACAAAAAAGTTATTTGTGCCTGTGAAAATGTGATGTTGCAAATGTTATTTTTGGTTGCTTGCTTCTAATTCTCCCCAATTCTTGCTTGCTTCCCCAGCCCCCCCCCCAGGTGAGAAGAAGACTGCCAGTCAGTTGGGGGAGGGGATCCCCTCTTAATAATGCATGATGGAAAGGGACCAGGACAGTGGAAGGCGATGCTGAAAAATTCAGAGCTATGACAAAGGGAACATGACTCTGGTTATTTGATCTCTGCTTTTCTGCTGGCTCCACCAAATCATGTGCTTGTGTAAAGTATCGGAGTTGCAGGAAAGGCTATGAAGTTGTGTCAATATGTCTAGACAGCAGATCTTTTTTTGTAAACTACCTTAAAACTCTAATTTGCACGTTCTTACAGATAAAAGATTTAGCACTGCAGTCCCATTTCAGAAAATGCACGGATCCCAGTGAACAGCTTCATGCTTACAGGATGGCAGTTCCTTGCATGCATTCCTACATTGTTTTATTGCACTCAGAATAATGGACCAGTTAAAAAAAGAGAGAGCATCTCACATGCATAAACCAGTGCAGAATGTCACATCAAAGAGGCACACCAGGAGCCCAATGTGGATCAGGTGCTACAACCTGCTTTACCCTACTTGGCTCTCAACAAGTAGGTAATAATAGGAATCACAGAATTGTAGTAGGTTGAAATGGAAGCTGAGGGGACATTTCTACGAATCCAGACGCGACCTTGCAATTGCAGGAACTCTCATCTAGCGTCAGATATGATCTTAACTCCCTGTTCCACTGCCTCGCGCAGTCGTTGGTCTGACCAAACTTGCTGGGACAGGCAGTGGAAGACAGGAGTGCGCTAGGCGTTGCCTCCTGGTTCCATGGGGTTCCACTGATAATGAGTCGGTATCACTGACTACCTAAACGACTTAAACAAATCAAACTTGCTTTCAGGAAACGACTCCAAGGAAGAGAGAGTCCACCAGCTCTTGTCACCAACAGCCTGTAAGGTGGTTCAGAAAATATCTTCCCATATGTTTAAGTCAGAATCTCCTCCTCTGTGTAATCTTTGGTATGCAGTCCCTACCCCTCCAGAGCCAGTGACGAAAACAAGCTTGCTCCAATAGTTGACAGCCCTTTTAGATGATTGAAGATGGCTTTCTGTGAACTGAAAGCAGAGTTTGGTGATGGCAGTTCCTCTGAAACTCCACCAGTGTGCTGGAGCCTCTCACGGACTGGCTACAGAGTCACTTTGGGGGGGGGGGGAGAATAAAAGGAGCAGTTTCTGAGAGAGAACGTTAGGCAGGGGTTTGGTTTTGAGAAGGGGCAAAGGTTCAGGTTAAGAAACATGGTTTGATTGGAGTTGGGAATTAGGGAATGAGATAAGGAGAACTGGTTCTGAGTGAAGTTCAACACACACTGAGAAGACTATCCATAGTGAGAGGACAGAGTCTTGCAGCTTGGATAGGGAGACCTGGTTGAGGGTCTGGGAAAGGTATAGAGACAGGAGTGTCCGGGGAAGGCTGTGAGTGAACCGGGAAAGGTAGATCTTGTGGGAATGCAGGCTACCAGGGTGTCAGTGTAGCCAGGACGGGAGAGTTCTTCTAGGTATTGAAGACTCCTAGCCCAAGGGGTGAGGTGATCCCCTGGGTCTGAGAATACCTCAGGTGTAGGATTGTTAAAAGAGTGGGTAACTGAGAAGTGAATCAAAGTATTAAGCTATAAAGGAAGCAGGATAGTGTCAAAAGTAATTTAAACTGTAATATCTAAGTGACAGAAATGGAGTCAAGCATTTACCAACTATTCTAGAAACCTGGATATTTACCACCTGAAGTGTTAACACCTGATTTTTTTGTAACTGAAGTTTACGAAGAGTTGTTCCTATAGTATTGTGTTAAGACTGAGTCATCTCATAGTTACTTAAGGTAAATAAGTTAACTTCTACCTGAAAGAACGCATTTCTTGACTCACTTCATTTCATAAACTTCTTTTGTTTAATAAAGCTTTTCTTAGAGTCCAAATCATTAAGTTTTCCCTCACACAAGTCCCCCACTAGATAATCTGTGGTAAATTGTAGAAATGTGTTTAGTTGGTGTACCGTAAGGTGTGTGCACTATATTTAATTGGGGGAAGTTAGTGGGAGTGGATCTGCCACATTATTAATTGGTGGTAATAAGTGCGGGGTCCACTGCAGCTACCATATCTCCCTTCAGTCTCTTCTTTTCCAAACTAAACACACCCAGCTCCTTCAACTGTTCCTCATCAGGCTTGGTTTCCAGACCCCTCGATCATCTTGGTTGCCCTGCTCTGCACACACTCCAGCTTGTCAACATCCTTCTTAAATTGTCATACTCAGAACTGGAAACAGTATTCCAGATGTGGTCTGACCAAGGCAGAATAGAGTGGTACTATGACTTCCCTTGATCTGGACACTATACTTTTGTTGATGCAGCCTAGAATTGCATTAGCTTTTTCTTCCTTTTTTTGCTGCTGCTGCATCACACTGTTGACTCATGTGAAGCTTGTGGTCCACCAAGACCCCTAGATCCTTTTCACATGTACAGTGGTACCTTGGGTTACATACGCTTCAGGTTACAGACTCCACTAACCCAGAAATAGTACCTTGGGTTAAGCTTCAGGATGAGAACAGAAATTGTGCCCTGGCAGCGTGGCAGCAGTGGGAGGCCCCATTAGCTAAAGTGGTGCTTTAGGTTAAGAACAGTTTCAGGTTAAAAACAGACCTCCGGAACAAATTAAGTATGTAACCAGAGGTACCACTGTACTATATTAGTAAGCCAGGTGTCCCTGGCTTTTGTCCTTTCATCCACATACATGTTTCATCCATAATGCTTCTCAAACCAGTTCAAATATGTTCTATCCTTTGCAGCTGGGCAGCCTATTTGCATCTTTCTACCTACTGCATTTTCCCTCCTTTTGACTTTGCTGCATGAAATGTGACTTGCGCATGACGTAGCATCTGTGCCAGCTTGCTCTTTAAACTGTGGACTTGCCACTCCAAATATTGACACAGGCCTTTATCTTTTCACCCTAGCTAGCTGGGCGATTCACTGAAATAAAACGCCTCAAGTGTGCAGATACTCATGACCGTTCATGTTATATTGACCAACTGCATAATGGAGTACAGAGTTCATAAAGGTTGTCAAATACATGGCAGATGTGGAACTCTGGGAGTTGGTTAATATAGAGACTGAAAGTCCAGTAGTAATCATTTTGGCCATATGCATAATATACATTTATAGCACTATGACACCAAACAGTCATGGCTTCCCTCAAAGAATTCTGGGAGCTGAACTTTGTTAAGGGTGCTGTCATAGCTAAGATAGCCCGAAACAGGTTGTTACAAAGATTGAAATCCTAAACACCATTACTGGAGTGTAGACTGCATTGAGCACAGTGGGACTTACTTCTGAGTAAACACACATATTTACCCTACATTTATAAGCTGCCTGATTGTAATCAAACTTCTAAGTCGAAGAGGTTTACCACCCCCACCCCAAAAAACCCATAGCATTGCACCCTAACCAAAATTTTATTTTGATGATGTCGATGTTGTCTTCAGTCTCAGGGTGGCAAGGAACCTGGCATAGAAAAAAATAAGAACAGTTTCAAAATACAATGATTCAACCTCCAACATACTTTAAACAATGGTCCAGATAACTATTGGAATGCACCTATTCCTTCCGAAAGAACATAGAGACCCATACGATTTCCTGAAGGCTGATTGATTGATTAGATTGCACACAACCAAAGGTGATTGATTAGAACAGATGGTAGGCGACGGATTGGAGTAGCCAAGCTGGTGCCCTCCAGATGTTATTGGATTCCACTTCCCATCCCCACTGACTATTGGACCTGGAGCCCACCACCACCTGGAGGGCGTCACGTTGGCTACCCACCGTGGTGGATCACTGGAAACCCACGAACCCGCAGAAAATGGCGCAAAGCTCTTTTTGACGCCGGTGCTCTTAGCTGCTCCCTCCTCTCCTGGAGCAACCAGAAATGGGCGTGCGCCTCTTTGGCTTTCGGGGCGCCTCTGGCTCTCCCATTTCCTCGCGCGCAGCCACGATCGAGGCGCCCCTCCCTTCCCGGATCTCGGCCCCCGCCGGGTCAGCGGGCCGGGCGCCTATTTGCATATTTTTACCTTTGTCTCCTCCGGCCAGCCAATGGGCGCGCGCGGCTGCTGCTCCTGGCCCGGCCCCCTCGAGCTTCCCATAGCTGGTGCAGCCGCCGCTTCTTCCAGCTCGCTGGGAAACAGGGGCTTCTCCGCCGCCCTCGCCGCCTCTGATCCTTTCTGCCAGGAGCGTGCGATCCTCCGGCAGCTGAGGACCGCTCCTCAGATAGCCAAAGAGGGGGTGGGGTAGAGTAGATCCACACCCAACACCCCCAGCTATTGAAATCTACTCGATCGGCGGGCGATCGCCGCAGTAGCGGCGGCCACAAGCGCAGAGGCGCGATGGTTTGCGGCGGCTTCTCCTGCTCCAAGAACTGCCTGTGCGCCCTCAACCTGCTCTATACGGTGAGTGGAGGCGCACGTCGGGGGGAGCCGGGCGGGGCGCGCCTCCCTGGCCCACGCGGGGAGCCTGGCGCGCCTCTTTTCCCTCGCCGCCCGGAGGCAATCGGCCCCACCTCTCCCTTTCTCCGGTGGGTCGGGCAAGGGCCACCTTTGAGGCCTGGGCGGTCGCCAAGCGGAGCCTCCCGAGTTGGCCTGGGAAACCCGGTAGCCAACGGCCCCTGAAAAGCCGCCCGGCCCCTTTGGCGCGCCGGCTGCACCTGTTGGGGTGAGGCGGAGGAAGGGGGCGGCTTGCAATCCGCTCCGGGAAGCGCCTCCCTTTCTCCGTCTTGACGCCGGTGTAAAGGGCTGCGTGGCCACAAGCCTGTTTTTTTTTGGGGGGGGTCCCCTTTTCCGGAAGCGAACTCCTCGCTTGGTTTTTTTTTGGGGTGGCGCTGAAATTTCCCCCATCGAGGTTGCCCACCTTGCCCCTATGCCTTTAACACGACTGCAGAGCAGGCAGTAATAATTCAGCGTGGTCTCTCCCCTCCCAAGAGTGGGGGAAGCTTCACTTGTTGAGCTTCTGCCTGCTAGGCATCGGTTTCCAGGAAGAAACAGACACCTGCCAGGAGAAAATGGCAAAAGGGGTGCGGTGGGTCATATTGAGCTGGAAAATCTTCCATGACGTAGCCTTATATTCAAAAAAAGAACTGGGCCAGGCAGCAGGTAAACTCTAAATCTACCTTTCCCCCTTAGATCTTACCCTTTACATGCCATGTTTACTACACCTGCCAGGTGAGGAAGTCAATTCTGCCCCATGAACCTTATAAAACTTCCTAGTTTCCAAGGTGCTGCAGGATGTTAGCTGCAATCCTTTCTAGCACTTACCTGGGAGTAAATTTCACTGAACTGGATGGAACTGAGTAGACATGTTTAGGATTGTGCTGCCTGCCTTGCTTTTCCCCTTTTGTTTTGTTGTTGCAAAATAGTAACGTATCAATACTATGGAAAATGGTCTCTTACGTTTCTGATTACGTTGATATATATTTTTGAATGCCACAGGCTTTATTAATCACTTCACTAATTCACTTTAAAACACATAAAGAGAAGTAATTTTCCTCCTCAGTTTAAGCGTTGTGCTTTTGTTTAGGAAGCTTGCCTATAAGCCATGTGATCACAGCTTTTATTCTTTGTTTCCCTGATGTGGCAGCAATGAACTCTTTAATCTGTTTAAGATGCCTTGTATCTCTGTGTTTTGACTGGGACTGTAGGTTGGACAAAACTTTTGTTTGTTTTAAAAAAACAAAACTGCTGGTATGTATCCCCAAGCACAGTTATTTGAAAGTGAGCTCCACTGAAATCAGTGGAAGCTACATCTGATTGACTTCTGAGCCAGAAGTAGGAACCTATGGCACTTAAGTGGGCCAGAATTACTTTACTTTACAAAATGCTTTACAGTCTTTGCTGTTACTTCATATAGTGCTGGGGTCTCCAAGATGGTGCCCATGGGCACAACGGCCACCTCAGACACTGTTTCTTCTGTAAAATGGGTATTTTGAGCTGCCAGTGGAAGTTCCTTGAGCTTCCAAATATCTCTCCAGCCCCCAAAAGACTGAGGACTGCTATAGCACAACAGTAATTTAGGATTGAACAGAATTAATCAGTCATTATTATTTTCTAGGAAAAAAGAGTGCTGGTACTTACAGCAAGTGCCATACTTTTAACATTTGAAGAAAAAGGTGCTGGTACTACTTACCTCTGAGTATGCCCCCCCCACTCCCACCCAAAAGCACTGGAATTAGGGCACAGACCATATCAAAATAGAACAGGATAAAATACTGTACAACATGATATCCACCTGGAAGTGAAACATGTTTAAACAGTTAACCTTCAGAAATTGCTGTTGCAAAATGTGACACTGGGTCCATATGTAGCTTAAATGACTTTAAAATGGAGTTGGACAAATTCTCTCCATAGGTGGTCAGTGGCCGCAAGTCATGATCAATATATATAACCCACTTCCAGGTTCAGAGATTAGATTGAGTCTGAATACTAGTTGCTAGGGAGTGGGCAGTTGCCCTCATGACCTGCTTGTGGACTTAGAGAAGTCCATCGGTTGACTACTGTGGAAGACATTCTCCTGGAGTAGATAGACTTCATATGAGCTACCTTAGAGTAATCTTACATTCCACAGACGTTTCCACAAACAGAATGGGTGGGTCCCTGTGCCCACTTCTTACAGCAGTTGCTTCACCCCCCCCCAAAAAAAATAATCAGGGACATCTTTAGCATATGCACCACTGGGGTGCAAAGATCCACCCAGCGCCCCCAAATTTAGTTTTGCCGCCCCCAAATTAACTTTTATTGAGCTTTTTTTGGGGGGGGTAGCCAAAGTTGTTGACCCTTTTTAGGGGGGCGAGCTCAAAGTTGTTAAGCTTTTTATTTTGGGGGGGGAATCGCTCACCTGTCACAACAACGAATTGGAAAAAAATGTTTTTGTTTCCTGATTCGTCGGGAATATTTGATGCTATGGACTTCTCTTTCATTGCTTTTCTGCTTTTCACTGCTGACAAGAGGGACCGGTATACAGTAGGTATACATTCGGCGCCCCCCAGAATTCGACACCTGGGTGCCCTGCACCCTTTGCACCCCTAAGTAAAGACAGCCCTGTAAATTATGATGGTTACCTTTGGGAAACGATATTAGTCCTGCAATGCAGTAACATCACTTTCTGAATTGCATTCTAAAAAACCAAGCTCAAGCATTGTTACCCTAGAGAATAATACTGCTTCAAGTCTTCCCATGTTTACACTTACCAGCATCATAGAATCATAGAATCATAGAGTTGGAATAGACCACAAGGGCCATCGAGTCCAACCCCCTGCAAAGCAGGAAACACCATCAGAGCACTCCTGACATATGGTTGTCAAGCCTCTGCTTAAAGACCTCCAAAGAAGGAGACTCCACCACACTCCTTGGCAGCAAATTCCACTGTCGAACAGCTCTTACTGTCAGGAAGTTCTTCCTAATGTTTAGGTGGAATCTTCTTTCTTGTAGTTTGGATCCATTGCTCCGTGTCCACTTCTCTGGAGCAGCAGAAAACAACCTTTCTCCCTCCTCTATATGACATCCTTTTATATATTTGAACATGGCTATCATATCACCCCTTAGTCATGGTCAAGAGGTACCCCTAGACCTGGAGCAATGCCGATGTTTGTAGCATTAAAAAGAAAAAAAGAAAAACTTTAAAGGAAAAGAACTAAAAGGAAAATCCAAAAGGAACTAAACTAAAAAGGGAAGGCTGAAAGGAATCGGAAAAGTTAAGGCAGTGCATAATCCTGAGCGTCTGAGAGGAAGCATACTGACAACTGAGTTGGAGGGGGAATAGAATGAAGTGGCAGGAAAGAAAGGAGGCAAAAAAGATATGTAGAAAGAATCATCACATTGTTTGCATAGGTCTTTCCTTGGTCCATACTGAAAAATGTCCCCATAGTTCTCCATAGACATTGATGAACATAATGTAACTGGTGGACTTTTTTTCTCTCAGGGTGGGGGGAAGCCAAAATGGAAGACAGAGGAGACAGTCACCTAAAAATATGCCAATGAGATTTTAGAGCAGTCTTTCTCAACCTTGAGTCCCCCTAGCTAGCAGGACCCAGTGGTCAGGGATGATGGCCAACAAAATCTGCGGACCCAATGTTGAGAAAGGCTGCCTTAGAGTGTTAAGTGGTATGAGATGCTGACTGACTGATTGGAGCAGTAGAGGAAAGCCTGGGGTGGATACAATGGAGCAGGATCTCACCAGTGCTATTAGAAAAAGAAAAAGCTGACCATGCTATGTCAGCCAGGGGTGTATCCCTTCCAAGGACGTTCTTCGTAATATGTCAAAAAGCCACACTGTACACTACATCCTGACACAAACATGTGAAACATCACAGATACATGTGTGTGATTTGGACACTGGGGGCAAGGATGTAACCATGGCAAAGGTGCATATCTTGCCACGTAATGTGTGGAAATCTCTGGGTCTGGCCATTCGTCATCTGCTAGGCAATTTAATTATGGGACGTATAAGTTTCACCTGTCAGCTCAGTTTGATTACCTGCCTTTATGTACTTGGAGCAGGGAAACTGGAGTAAGGCGGGGAACAAGATCAAGGAGACTGGTAAACAAGGTGTTTGAATAATGCTGAACTCCGGAGAGCTATTTAGGGATTTCCAAGGGATTACTGCAGCCATTTCAAGTTTAAATTGATACCCCTGGGTTAAAATCCAGACGCTTGAGTAGTTTTTTGAATTAATTAACTAGAAGAATCGCGGCATTCATTTATAGCACTCAGGGTTGGCCTGCAGTAAATGTAAATGATAATATCAGGTCGTGCTGGAGCAGCTCTGTTGGTTAGAGTGCGGTGCTGGTAATGCCAAGGTTGCAGGTTCGATCCCCGTGTGGGACAGCTGCA